GCACGCGCCGCCGCCGCCGCGCCCGCGCGCAGCGCAGCGCAGCGGAGCTGTCCGCAGCTCGCGGTGCTGAAGCCGCAGCGGCCGCCCAGCCCCTTCCTCCCGCCTCCCTCCTCCTCCTCCTCCTCGCGGGGTGGGCTCTTGCGAGCAGCCCGGGGCATCGGCGGGCGGCAGGGGCCCCAATCCTCCCCTCCAGTCCCCCCCCCCGCCCAGCTCCGCCGCCTTTTGCTTTTATTTTTTTGCCTTTAATTTTTATTTTTCGCCAGCCGGGGGRGGGAGGGAGGAGAGCGCGGCCACGCCGCCCCGCTCCCTTGCCGCGAGTCGCCGCTTGCGGCGCGCACAGAGCTGCTCCGCGCGCGCGGCCCCGCAGGGAGGGAGGCAGCGCGCGCCGCCGCCTCCCCGCGCAGCCGCGCGGCCCCGCGCAGGGGCGGCTGCCGCGCACGCACCCGCGCAGCCCCCGCGGCAGCGGCCGCAGCACAAACAAGGCGCGCGGCCCCTGGCGCATCGCGCTCCCGCGGAGCCTGCTACGAGGAGGAAGGGAATTATCTGATCCCGTTTTTCCTCTTCTTCCTCCCCCCTCCCCGCCAGAGAGAGTGCGACAGCCTTGCGATGGTTGAATGTCAATGCCTGTGAGAGAGAACAACAGGCAGGGGAGGAGGACAGAAGGGGAGGAAAATGAAGGTGGGGACGGTGCTGGAGAGGAAGAAGGAGCCTCATCCAATGCATCAAAAGGAGGACCCTGCAGTCGCTGAGAGAGCCCTGGCCGCCTCGCCATCCACAGCGGTCTGTACGAGCTGCCAGTGCGTTTGGTGACGTTCCTGTTTTGTGAAAGGAGGAAAGGGAACGTGAGCATGTAAGATCGACGTTTCCCCCGTCAATTACATGCGAAGAAAAGATCAGATTTCGATGGATGTTTTTTTTTTTTTTTTTTTTTTTGGTCCAGGATGGTAACAGTTTAGGAAATAATTCATCCGCCTCTCACCAATTTTTGCTCTGATTTTATTTTTTGGTGTGGTCCAGACATCTGCTGGAAGAGAGAAGGTCAGAATATATATAAATATATATTGAAATATATGATATATATAATATATATTATATATATAAATATATTTATCTCAGTGCATCTGGGGTTTAGCTCGTTGAATGCTAATTGTTTCTTTCAGGACTTTTAATATTTACAGTGAAACCTTTTAAAGGCAACGGCGAAATCTGAAGCCACCTGGGAGTACAGTGCTGGAAACGTAGGGTGTTTTCCCAAAAACAATGTGAAGGCCTTTTTCCTTTTTCTTTTCTTTTCTTTTTTCTTTTTCTTTTTCTTTTTTTTTTTTTTCTTTTTTTGTCACAGAGGCAATTTTGATAATAACAACAGCTACCAATTTTGCATTTTGTTAGCCCGCCTCGCCATTATTTTGCCTGGGCGCACACCGGGGCTGGCGTGGTTGGGTTTTATTTTTTAACTGGAAAAGAAAATATTATATTATATATATATAAAACCGGAAGATAGAAGGAAAATTACTTGAGATGCCAAATACTGTCGAGACAACCGTATTCCCGCTGCTCCCCACGCCCGCCGGAGACGCCGGGCCGGCTTTTCCACGCGCTTAGGAGTTGGGAGCGGGCCTGGGCGCTGCTGCCCCGCGCTGCGCGGCGCTGCCCGCACCCTTGGGCGCGCCACGCGCCTTTTCCGCCGCCCGCTCGGCCCCGCACAAACTTGTGGCACTCGCCCCGCCGGCGGGGGCAACGACCCCCCTACCCCGCTCCGCACCCAGCCCCGCGGCGCCGGGTTTTGTTGTTCTATTTATTCTTGTTTTTTACTGCTCCGAGCGCTCCCGCCGGCCTCGCGAGGCTCCCGGCAGAGGCGCCCGGGGCTCCCGCGCCCTCCCGCCGCCGCCGCGGCCGCCCGCGCACGGAAGGCACATGTTAGTACCAGCCGGCGCGGGCATTTTCTGCGACTGCTGCTGCGGGCTCCTGCGTGCGAGACAGATGTTGCGGAACCAAGGCCTCCTCAAGTGCCGCTGCCGCATGCTCTTCAATGACCTGAAGGTCTTCC